ATAATAGTACTTAGCATTTGAATTATTACTGAGTGACTAAAACGTGTTTTTCCAAATATGTAAGCTCATATAGACTTTTGTTCTAGTACTTTTATTTTTATTTATTAGTTAGTACTGTTTTATAAAATCCATCCATGACTGGAATTACTCTTTTAAGCCATTTTCACAACAGGATGTCCAGAGCATTCCTGTCTATGAGGAGAGCTGGCTTTATCCTCTTTAAGTGCATGTTATGAAATTAGCCTTTGACTTCATGCTCACAATCAACAAAATGGTTTGGTTGTTTCATAGCCTCGGTTTAAGTTTAATTACTTAAGTTTTTACCCCTTATGCCCAGAAAAAGACCTCTGAATCTTAGGAATCATTGTCAAGTATGCAGAGAACTTTAAAGGAATAGATTAAGTTGTGAATGATCAGTTTCATCTTAATAGGACAGACACTAGATCTAGTTTTTGTATTAATACTTCTAAACTTATTGCATGTGCTTCTTTCACTTGATGTTGTACCTGGTTAATTGTTTGCTTATATCACTCATTCTCCCCTTTATTCATCCATATGCTTCTAGAAACAAGTTCTTTAAGTTTACCATCCCCCCATATTCTGTAAAATTATTTCTCTGATTTCCACAAGAATATTACATTTTTTTTTTTCCCTGGATTATGGTGGGGATTTCTGTGTTCTGGTGGTGGATTTTTTTTTTTTTTTTTTTTTGTTGCTTTCTTTGGGTTTTGGGGGGAGGAGAAAGAAGGGATTATTTATTTTTTTCTGTTTGTTTGGGGTTTTTTAGTGACAATGTTACTTGCCAGCCTAAACATGAGGATAACACAGAGCCTTGTCAGTGCTGTTTTGGTTTTGTAATGAATCAGCAAGTGGGTAATTTCACATGACTCGCCCTGTAAATAATGTGCCCCACCCTTCATGCAGTGATCTTGGAAGAAGCTTGCTGGGTGTATCTTCCTACCATCTTTCTAGTGGCTGTTCTTGGCCTGTGATTCCTGCTGTATGGCTTGGGGGAGGAGCTGGGTGAGAGAGCACAGGCTTGTGTCCATCTGCTTGTGTCCTCACCATCAGCCCAGGCTCCTCTCTGAACAAAAAGATAGAGAGAAACAGGACAAAGGATGAAAGAAAATGAGTTTGGGAAGAAACAGGAGAGAAGCAGCTTATTTGGGAAGACGGCAGGTGGCACTGGCATTGCTAACCTTAACAACCGAGAAGTATAAAATCTTTTTGAACCTGTTTTGTAACTGTTGAACATAGATTTATAGAAGGAAATGAAATAAACAGAATTTCAGGAGGAAACTTTCACCTATTATTTGATTTGTCATTCTGGATTGAAGCTTCCATGCATGCATGGATGTGTGGTGGAATTAGGTTCTGTTTACCCTAATATGATTCCTGCAATTAAATAATTTCAATTATTTATTAATTCTTTAAATAGAACTAGCTTTTCCTCTGTCTTATGCATTTGTTTGCCTCTTGGATTGAGTGCTCCAATTATTTTTTTAAATTATTTTTTCATTTAAGAAACCTAATTTCTTGCTAAGTTTCTTAGGAAAGCTGCCTTTTTTTTTTTTTTTTTCATCAGGTCTTGCATATGTGGTTAAGGAAAAAGATTTGAATATCAGCTGGAAAAAAAGGGCTCAAATTTTCAGGCAGAAAAATCTTTATTTCTATATACATGCTAAGAACATATCTCAATGGAGCTCTCTAGTTCTTATGCAGAAAATAAATGTTTTAAAACATAGAAGGGAGCTGCTATACTGGGTCACTGTCACTTGTCTAGTATAAGCTATTTCTACAGAATAAATGTAATAAAACACTAAAATACTTAAGCAGTTAATTTTTTACTTTACATCTGTAATTTTAAGAGGTGCTAGTAAACATAATACAGTGTTTTTAATTGGTATTTTTGCCCATGTACTACAAAAAAACCCAAACCCATAAAAGGCAGTCTTACAAACTATTCCATTACTGGCAGCTCAATCCATAAATAAGCTAATTTTGGAATAAATCCAAAACAAGAGCGTAAGGGGAAAGGTATTGTTGGATGGTGTAGTGAAATGGGATGGGGTTTTTCACCTTGGGAATTATTTACTGAAAATAGCGGATGTCCTACCATTAAGCTAAAACATAACACGTTTAAACATCCTTCTACCTGCACATGGAAATACCTTATTTCAAGGTCTTGGCTCATTAAAATATCATATTGTAGCTACTTCTGGAAGAAGGACTTAAAAAAAAAAAAAAAAAGAAAAGAAAAAAAAGAAGAAAAAGTAAAATATTAATGTTTTTTACAAAGTAGTCATGAACAGGATTTGTTACCAGTCTATATGTGATGGTAACTTTAATTGAGTTTTGTAAGGCTTACTAAATAGTGGGAGACAGATTCCCTAATTGTGAGGACGTGACAGTAAATGGCAATACAAATGTGTGCAACATTCGTATGGTGGTGTTAAACAAAAAGAAGTAGCACAAAGCTGGAACATGTCAGCTAGTGTGCGATGGCAGGAGGAAGCAACCATCTATGTGTGTATATACATATAAATATGCCCACATTAAAAAGTACATAAAGATAAAAGAACAGAGGAGCCAAACACTTAAAATGGAAAAGGACAAAATGTTTATGAAGTAGTAAAGTGGAGTGATTTGAAAGTGGGATATCTGACTGATTGAGAAAACTGTTTACCAAAAGGTTTGAGGGCTGATTTGATCTCTCTGAGAGCTGTGGAAAATGCCAAGTTGATTCTTCATTGTGATAGTCTTCTCCATAGATAACAGAGGGAGATTCTCACAGATGTCATGTTGAGTGCTACTGTATCTGGTAGCTTACAGCTTAGCCACAGAAAAAGCCAAAATTCCGTAATAGATTACCGGTCCTGTTACATGAGAAGGTAAGTCAGGGAAAGAGTGAATGATGAAATCTACTTCTTTGCAGCCTCTGAAGTTATTTATCTTAAAAGATCCTGAGCAGCTTTTATCTACTGTTCTTCTATTGCTTGTGCCCAGAATGCTTTACCTGAATTCTGTTGATTAAATTATGGTGTTTAATTGGCCTTGCCAGCTCCTTGTTTGTGTTCTGGTTTGTGAACAGCAGTGTTGAGTGTGAGTTTGGTTGCTGCATATTAATTCTGCTTTTCTCAGGGCTGCTGTAGAGTATTATAAAGGAATTGCCATTCTGAGTTGCTTCTGCTGAAATACATATTTAAAAGGAGAAGAAAAATGCAGGTCACTTACCATGCTAATTTGATAGCAACATGGAAAGCCTCCTACCCCTTGAGGTTATGTCTAGTTTTTTTGGGTATTTCCATATCACTTGTTATTCAAATCTATATTCTCTTCTTTTTGATTTAGACTATTTCTTTGATCCAAGTGAAGTCTAAATTTGCCTCTTCCTGCATATTTCTATAAGCTGAGGTCGTAGCACTCTACAGGTCAGTTGAGGGTATTAAGATTATTCTAATGGAAACAGGCCTCTTTTTCTGGTATCCCTGGTTACATCCTCATTTACTCACTGACAAAACTATTGTCCAGTCCTGACCCTCTTGCCGCATCATACCTGTTGGCGTCTCTTGAAGTGAAGTCATCCTCTTAAAGTGGCTCAGAATAGCTCTGCTAGAACTGTCTCTGTCATGTGTCTATTCCTTTAATGTCCTCTTCGGGCATTCTTTGTTCATGGGTCAGATATACACAGGCATTGACTTTGTCTCTGCAACTTTTTTTAGCTTAGTACTGCCAGCTGTTTGTTCCAGCTTTGTTTCTGCCTTTTTTTCCACCAACAGTGCCAACTTCAGCTTTCAGCTTATAAACTTTTCTCACATGCTTCCCCCAAATCTTATTTCTGCACATGAAGATATACTGACAACCTGTGAAATCTCTGTCTGAACATTCAGACTTCCTTTTTAGATCTCACCTTTGTTGTAATGCATAATAAAACCACCATCTGCCAAGTAGGTAGTGAGAGAGAAACATGGCAGGTAGCTGTAGTTGGCATACAAATCTGGTACAAGCAACATTTGTTATCCCATCCTTTATTCCCTTTCCAGCACACCAAATCCTTTTGTCCTCCTCCATGCCTTAATTTTAGAGTGTAAGTTCTGTTGGACAGAGCAGTTACTAATATAGTCATAGAATCACAGAACAGTTAGGATTGGAAGGGACCTCTAGAGATGACCTAGTCCAACCCTTCTGCCAAAGCAGGATCACCTGTTGATCTTCATACTGGATATCACACTCCTATTTGGATTGTTTATTTGCTTATTTATTTATTTGGTCTGGAGTGATTTGTAACAACAGGTGCTTTGTCTTGAATGTGAATTTCACCAGACCTGCATATTTTAAGGAGCCTGATTCTCACAAAATGGAGAAATGGGAAGTTTAGTTTTAAACAAGTATCTGCTACAAGTCTTCCTGGGCAGGGTTGCTCTCGATCTGTTTATCCCTGAGCCTGTCCTGATACTGGGGATCCCCTGACCCTGGTGCAGCACCTTGCACTTGTTCTTGTTAAACTGCATCGATTCCCATGGACCCAACTTCTCGAGCTTGTCCTAGTCACTCTGGATGGCATCCCATCCTTCAGGTGTGTCAACTGCACCACTCAGTTTAGTGTCATCTGCAAATTTGCTGAGGGTGCATTTGATCCCTCAACTCTTATGACATTGATGCAGACATTAAACTATACTGGTCCAAGTATGAGCCCTTGGAAACATTGTGGGGAACTGATCTTCAGTATGTTTCTGAGAATATCATGATGCTTTATATAGAAATTACAAAAGGTTCTGCATGAAAAATGCAGATGGAGTGAAAACTCGGAACATGTTTGTCTGTGTGCTTGGTCTGACTTTCATGCTTCAGAAACTTGCTATGTTAGATTATGTTTCAATGTTATTTCTGGATAATGTTAATTTTCACTTTTTGCTGGTAACCTTCAAATATAAATAATTGTGAGCATAGATTATTGCTGGAAAATTTGACGCATGAGCTTGTTTCTGCTGTTTTTGCAGGGCTTCAAGAATATGTTGAGGCAGTTTCGTTTCAGTATTTTATCAAAACACGATCTCTGATCAGTGTTGAAGAGATCAACAAACAACTAATATTTACAGCAGAAGACAGAGAAGAAACAACAAACATGGTAAAAGTTTTTCTTTTCTCAATTGACAAACATCTTTCTGGGATGGAAATGCAACAAGAAGGATTAGTCACATTTTTGGCATCTGATTAAATAAGGCCAGTTAGTGGAATGGGATTAGATAGACATGTGGGCTTTGACTTACTTGTTCAAAACATGCCTTTTATTCTGATAAGTAGTAAACTAAATCCGTGGGATACAAGTTTATAAATTTCATATCCTTTTTATTCGGAGCAAACTGAACCCTTTCTGATACAACAAAAGATCCAGGACAATGAAATACTAGCTAACAAGTGTAGCAGAGTGATTTTTGGTGCCTGGGGCTGTCTCTAAGACATTCTGGTGTATAGTGGTCTTGCAGAAGTTGGAGGACACAAACAAATCTGAGGCAGGATGAACTCCATGACTGAAATCTTATTGCTGGTATTGAACTAGTCACTAGAGGCACTGTATTTGCCTTGTGCATATGTTTTAGCTGCATCATTTGTAACTCTACTGGAGCTAATTCCTTTCAGAGGACAAGCTGGTGTCCCATCATACCTTAGCCCTAATACCACATCTGCTGTTTCTTGACTTGCCTGTCCTCCTACCCTGCCCTAAATGGCTCACAGGGACAAACTAATGTCACCAAGCACAATAAACTGCGTGCAGTTTGATTGTTGACAGAGGGCAACAGTGATTTGGTAGCAATCTACAGAAGCACACAAGCAGTTGAGGTGCAGTGTACAGTAATGCTGCTTTACATGAATTCCTGAGTTTGCTTCTACTGAAGAGATTCTGCTGTAAAGTATTTCTCATTCATTCTTTATTCTCTTGGTATTTGCATAGAAGCCTGATTTTTAGCTTAAATACATTTGTTTTTACCAGAGGTAACAACTGTGAAGTTGTTAACCCCAGCATGCACATCTCTGACCAGATCTGTCAATTTGGGTAGATTGCATATTAGGGGAGCAAGTGAACAGAAAGAAATCTGCATTGTCTCCCATGTTATCAATATTCTGGCAATAAAAAGTATAGGAAACTTGGAGCAAACTTGTAACTTTGTAATGGGTTTGCTTCATGAAGATTTTTGTTTGTTATTTTAATAAGCTCAGTTGATATAAAACAGATCTGAGACTACTATGGCTACTTGTAGAGAATAAATTTTGAAATTCAAGATACTATTATGAAATTATATTACTTGTTTTCATAATGCAGACTATTTTTGACTGATTTGCTAACTTTGGACTATTTAGGAAAAAAATCTATCAAGATGAGATCTGTCAGATGAAAGAAAACCCCAAACAACTGCAAATAAATGTTGCTACAAAGATGTGATAATTCTGTTTGCAAATGAGATGGTAGAGTTAGGGTATGTTTATCATACTTGCTAAATTGAAAATGACATCTCAAGTAGAAATTACCTTCTTTTATGGAAGGAGATTAGTACTTCTGAAATTAGACCATGTGGAAGTGTCGTGCAGTTTAATTTTCCAGAATGTTTTAAATTTCCAGTTATGTTAGATGAGTTAACGTGTATAGTTGAACCATTACAGATGGCTTTCTCACACTTTTCTCTACTGGACTTTTCTTCCATTCTGTCCCCAGACCTCCAATTCCCATGATAAACAGCTCCATACGTGGAGCCTGAAGGTAACCCCTGTGGATTACCTGCTGGGAGTGGCTGATCTGACGGGAGAGCTGATGCGGCTGTGCATCGGCAGCGTTGGGAACGGGGACATAGACACACCCTTCGAACTGAGCCAGTTCTTGCGTCAGATTTACGATGGGTTTACTTTCATTGGCAACACGGGACCTTACGAAGTCTCCAAGAAGCTCTATACCTTGAAACAGAGTCTGGCAAAAGTAGAGAATGCCTGCTACACATTAAAGGTACGGGGATCCGAAATCCCAAAGCACATGTTGGCTGATGTGTTCTCCACCAAAACGGAATTGATTGACCAAGAAGAGGGGCTTCCTTAAAATCAGGAAGCTCTTGCTACTCAGAAGAGAAGAGGACATAGAGAAACCTCTCTAGTTATGGTTTGTGGGGTTTTGACCCTTCTCAAAGCTTTTTAGGTAGAGACATTTTTGTTTTATCTATGAGAAGGCTGTTTGAAGTGGTAATTTGTAACCAAAAATACTTTTTATGATGTGCAAGAGAAGAAATGTTTGACTTTGGCCTCTTGCTGTGGAATTTCCTGTATTGCTCCATCGTATCTTCTTTCAGATTGACCAAAATTTCTACTGCACTCTACTCCAGTGACTGTCATTTTTGTGACCTCAAACTGTTGTTGGTACAAGTTTTCATCAAGCACAGCAGTGGGAAAAAAATGGCCAGGTGCTCTTATTTAGCATTATCCATAGCTTTCTGCTGAGGCATTTTCTGAGTATTTGGGTTCTGTACTCTTATTACACTTACAGCAATGCACCTGTGCGTAAGTGACTTGAGACTGGGTTGGTCTCAACAGTGCCATGTAATTCAAGTTTTCTCTGATTAGTACTTTAAACTATGAAACTACATCAACTTTTTGCCAATTGATAATGAAGCTAATTGCACCTGGTAAATACTACTGTCACCTGTTATTTTGGGTCTCTGTTAAAACTGAGCTCCATTTGAGCTCCATTTGGTATTTCACAGTTTTGAGATGAGCTAGGAAATCCACAGAAAATAATAGTGGAAGTATAGTTTTACATTTTTTGTAATACAGTTTAATGCAGAATCTGACATATTTCTGTTTGTAGACACTCTTTTGTCTACAAACAATGGTTTGTCATACGAAGTATGTAATTTGGTGTTAGGACAAGCAGTTTTTGGCCAGAATGAATGTGTTGCATAGCTGGAAGTCTGTTCTCCATTGTTTGTACTGCCCTGAGGACCTCCAGTGGGATTGAACTGGTATAAGTGGAAAAGGGCTAGCCAAGCTTTAAATATATGTTAGCAGGAACTATATCATGTGCATGTTCCTGTGGAAAGGAAATTGCAAACAGAAGTAAGGCAGGCATTCTGGTTTTCGCATTTATCTTTGAGGGGGGGTATGTCACTGTTGGCAAAAAATCAGGGCTTTATGCTGGTGTCTGAAGTTATGAAAGTCTGATAATGTACATAATGCTAAAGGAAAACAGATAAAACAACATGATCTCTAGACTCCAGGAAATAGGCCTCCCAACTGCAATTGAAAATACTGCATGTTTTTTATTTCTACTTCCATATGTGGTGATACTGCCAATACTTTTCCCATGAGCATGTCCTGAGTAGCTGGAATCATCTGACATATGGATAGGAATGGGTAAATACATGTCTGTCACATTTTTCCGTTGTTTCCACATAAAGTAGTATGGGGTGGATTGAACAAGGGGTGGTATTTTTCCTACTGTTTAATACTATTTTTTACAATAAATTCTGAAAAGTAGTCACTGTCTCTATGTTGGTCCTTTTGCGTGTCAGTCCAAGTGGTAAATTACAGTGCAAGTTTCCCACCGTGAAGGACTTCGCTTGGAAGTTTTGCTCCATTCCTATATTCATACTTCCTTGGGCACTTGCTAAAGGTGATTTTTTTTTTTCTCCCTTAACTTTATTCTTTGGTGTCTAAAAACTAGTTAGGATAGAAACTTCATGTGAATCTTTTGAATGAAAAAAAAAATGCAAAGGATTCAGATGACAAAGCAAGTATATCCCTGGAACAAATCTGCAACAGTACCCATGTTTCTACATCTCACCTTTGTTTTCTGGGGTTTTTTTTCCCTGATGAGAGGAGGGGGAAGAAAGGAGGCTAGTTGCTAAAAAGGAATAGTTTTGGGGTGTCACCCTTCCCCTGAGATGTATATATCTAGCATTTCAGTTGGTGCAGCTACAGTGCAGTTGTGCCTCTTGGCACACTAAATTTACTGCAAGTCATTGCTTGTTTAGTGTAAGTGTGTGAAGTGAAAGCAGATACTGTTAGACATAGTGAGTGATATTAAAAGAGGTCTGTCTCTTGTCTGTCCTAGCAGCTATCAGGGGGAATTAAAAAATGTTCATGGCACAGTTTGAAATGGGTTGAAATTAATTTCAGCACATTGGACTGCTTGGCTCAGTGACATTCTGCCTGTAGCCATGGAATGAGTGCACAGTGGCCACCACTTTAGTCAGCTCCTGCTTTTATACAGTCATTCATTACTTTAAAACTTCAGATGTCTAAAAAGAGTACTTTTTCCCCCCTAGCAATGTTTAGAAGCAGATGTTCTTTCAACAAGTACATACTGGTTCTAATGATTTTGAGATTTAAATTTTCGGTAAGGCAAGAGAAATTTATTTAATGGCAGATGTGATTTCTAAACTTCAGGCTGCCTGCCCATAATCAAAAGCTGTAAATAATTTCTAATAAGGAGCAAAGTGTATGTGTGGTGTATTAAAACACCAGTACAGATGGGAAGTAGCTAATGGCCTGAAAACCTCCTGCTCAAGGAAATATTTTCCCCAAAAAACAATTGCACTGTAGCTATTTGAAAAGTGACAGACATTTATTAGCAAAACAAGCTGCTAAACAAGCAATGGCAATTTTCCCATTTCTTATCCCATTGCTCTATGGAGCTATTGATAGGCTTGGTCTGCAGCCAGAACAGGACTACGTCATAGCAGATGTTTCACAAGGGCAGCTCTGCATGCTAAAAATCATCTCCCTTTCTGGACTCTCCTTTCTCAGAAATGATTTTTCTTTACAGGTTCACTTTTTCCCCTGACTGTTAATTTTCAGTGAGAAAAAATGCACGCACATTTAGCTTTCCAGAACCGCCAGAGAAGTTATGCAAGAGAAACTTCCTGTTGACAAGACACATATGTCTGTCTACTTAAACTCCTGCTTACTTGGGTGTCCAATGAGTTTATTGAAGATTGAAAGAAAAAGAAAGAAAACAAACTGCACCTTTTATAATATTTAACATATTAGATGCTTTATAGAATCCAGACCAGATTCTGGCACTGCCCTCAAAGAGTTTGCAGTTTAAGAGTAGGCAAAAGGTTAGCCAAGACAAACAAAAGGAAGATGGTAGAAAGGAGGGGGGGGGGGGGGGAGGATAAAGTGACAGGATTGTTACCAGAAGACTGTGAGTAGTAGGTTGGTTTACCACTTCCCATTTGGAAAAGAAACTTGTCCAAACTTACATAATTCTGCAGTGTGACAGTAAAGGGTTAGTTGGGAAGGGTGAAGGCAGTGGAGAGGCAAAATGGAAGGAAGTGAGGTAGAGACAAAGGGGGGAAGAGTGGCAAGGAGTAGGACAGCATGGAGGAAGAGCAGGCTGAGCCACAGGGCAGCGGGTGCACATGCAAGGAGGGTGGGACTGGGGAGGATGTGGGACAGGAAGACAGCCCTGCAAAAAGTTGGAAAAAACACTTTTAAACCAAGTGACTCAGCTATAAGAGAGACTTGGAGTTGACCAAAAGAACTGAATTTAAAATTACCACAAGGTCCCCAATGCATTGATAGCCTTGGGCCATAAATAAGGGAAACTTGATTTCCTGAGCAGCTGAAAACCTGCAGGTCCTTGACTGAGCAGGGTTTGCAGGCTTCCAGTCATGTAACAAATCAACAAACTCTCAGTTCCCATATGACCCAACTTCCCATTCATGTTACCTTCACTCCCACACTGGTAGCCACAAACATTGATGTTTGAATTGTCATCATCTGCAGCTGTTAGAGACATGGTTAGATACAGTTTTTAACATAAAGGAATGCTTACGGTGACCACAGTTTCCCCTTGTGTGCTGTTTACGTGTCCATTTCGCTGGCATTGCTGCTTCAAACCCCTCTCTGCTTCTTCCCTTTCTTTACTTATCCTTTCTCAGGCTGTACTGTTCTTTTGAGCCATGGCCTATGTCCATCCCATGGGTCCGTCCTTTCCATGTTTAGCTGGAATCCTGGGGTAAAGTGTGTCCGTGCAAGAAGAGGAATCAATCGGTTTCTTAGGTACGGTTGTCTGCTTGCACCTCCAAATTTGGGAGTAGTGCTCTGACTCTGAGGGGAGAGGTCTGGTATTCCTGCATTCAGATAAGGCCTGGTGCGTATGTCCTATGGCAGCCATGGTGCCATGTGTCAGGATGGGTGGGTGGGCAGGCAGATCTCATGTTGCTTTTGCAGGTGAGCAAAACTCGGTTATTCTGAGGTTTGCAATCATCACGAGCCAAGGAAAATTGCCTACAAACATGAAAGAAGTTTCTTCTCCAGTTCTGAGGAAGGTTGTCTTTGAGAAGTATGATTTCCCACAAATTCTACCTCTTTTTACCTCACCCATCACCCCTTTGAAAGGCCTATTTGCAGAATGTAGCAGAAGAGACTTGCTGATGACTTCTGGAGCCAGTCGGTGCCTCCCTGAACACTGGCCAAAAGTGATGCGATGGTTCCTTTCTCAGCTCCTCCCACAGGCCAGGCAGGCTGGCTCTAGTGTCCCTTCAGCCACCCGGGGGGGCTGAACTCCGAGCCTCCACTGTTGGATTTTGAAGACTGGTGACATGTGGGTTCATCCTCTCTTGTTTTCTTGTCATGCAGATGTTCATTCCTCCTAAAGAAAGACTCTGTTGTGTGTGCTCTACTCCTGCACTGCCACAAAAGGTCAGACTTCTTGAGCCCATTATAAACTGTTTCTTGGCTACAAAAGCAGTGCAGATTTTGGGGTACATCTACCTTTGGGCACTTCTCACATAGCTCTGAGCTTTCCTGCAGGTTTGCAAGTCCTTTTTAATCCAGAAGGGTCCTACTAGTTCCATTAAATTCTTACTAAAGGTCATCTCCTCTGATGACCCCAGCAAGAGAAGCTGAACATACTGATCTGGAAATTGCCCAGGTTTTTGTTAAAATGAGCCTTTTCATGCTCAGGGACAGACCCCAGGGTGGCAAAAGATGTGCTTGAATAGTCAGTTCTGGGAGTTTGAATGTCATTGGGAACATTTAAGTCTTAGGAGTCTCCTTTTAGGAGGGAGTGGGGGCAAGGGCAGTCGGTAGGTGTGTTTTACTTTGCACCTTATGCCTGGAAGTAAAGGTGACAGGCAGCAGATGCTGGGGCTGTGGGGGAAGACGAGTAAGACGAAGCTGTAAATCAGTAAATCAGCCAGGAGCCTGCAATAAGACATGACTATTTACCTTCCAGCCCTGCTCCCACCAATGCGAGCCTGAGCTCCTTCTACTCCTGAGAGCCAGCCAAGGTCAGAAGCTGCAGGACCAAAATGCCACCATCACTCGCATGTGCATGTCTGTGACCTGCCACAGGCCTGCATTTACATGTGTCCAGTGAGCAGGGGATGATGTTAGAAACATGAATGTAGAACCTCCTGCTCACCTTCATAAAGTCCTGATGCCTGTTTTTTTATATTTATTATTTTATTTATGGTTTCTGTATCTTTGGTGGAGGGCAAGAAGAGGAGGGCAGGGCACGGGCAGGATGTGTTCTAACACCTGTTTCCTTTGCCCCCTTCCCAAGCCTTTTTTTCCAGCTTCTTCAGCATAGCTTCTGCCTTGATGGCTCCTGGTTGATGGGCTGTTGGAGAAATGTTGCTTTGCAGGAGCAAAAAAGCCCAATCTTAAGAGGATCTATGCTCATTTCAACTTATCAGGAAAAGCAGGGCAGCTATAAACCTTCAATTTATTTGAGATCCATCCTATAACTCCCTGGGCCTGCCTTCTTACTAGAAGGATGAGAATTTGTCAGTTACTGGAGAATATATAATTTTTCTGCCACCTAGTGTCCAGCCTTTGGAGTGCTCAAGCTTTTGGCTGTGAGTTACAAGTTAGTTATTGTTTTCTCTTTGAGTGCTTTTAAACACAATTAGTGGTGTGGTCATTTTTAGACTGAGGTAAGTCTCTGGTAGTAGTATCTTTTACTCTCTGCATACTCTACTATTTGGAAATCTGGGGAATACCAGAAAATAGCATATTTTTATTTTATATCTCATCATATGTGCATATGGTGTTTTGAAGACAGATAAATAAAAAAGCCATGAGAAACTTTGACCAGGTGTGTTCTTGCAGATTTGTGAATTATTTGAACTATTGTTTTTATTTGGACTAGTACATTGAAGTAGTCTAAAAGGGTTTAGAGTTTGGTCCTAAATTCCTTAATTTATGTTCTAACCATGCTACCTGTGCAAGAAAATGCAAGCCTTTTTAAACTGTTGAACTCCTGGTACAAAATCAAATGCTCCTGCATGTGTGAGTGTGCCTGTGTGCTTTCCTGCCCTGACTGTTGTTGTCACAGAAACCTCTCAGGTAGAAACACGGAAGGCTCCAAACCCACCGCGTGTCTGCAGGATAAAAGAAGTGGCTGTGCTGCGCTCTCTGAACAGAAGGGGGCTGGCCTTGGTGCTTAGGCCCTGGGACATTGCCCAGTTAGTGCCAAAGGTGATTTGGTCCCTCTTGTTGTCCTGGACCTTCGTCTCTCCCTTGCGCTGTGCTGCTCAGGGGAGATGTGGCATGCACCACAGCAGAGGGATGATGAATCATCAGGCTTTTAAAGGGGATAATACAGCCATAGTCATCACTTGGATTGGCCCAGTGGAAAGGCATTAATGACAATCACTTACAATATTGCATCAATAGACTTAGAAATGGTGGCACTGTCACCCTGGAGATTCTTCTTCTAAAGGTCATTCAAGGGTAATTTTAGATCCTTCTCCTACAGGCTACCTTTCACAGGATACCCACTCTGGGACTGAAAGCCAGAGAACAGCACAGATCTGTTCTTACACCCACAGTTCCTGCCTGTCCTGTACCCAGCTCCAGGAGGGAGGGCTGGCACACTGGAAAAGATCAGGTGAGGCTGGTGTGTCTGGACATGTGGCTGTAGACATCTGTTCCTACCCAGGCATTCTGCAGTACAAAATGAGCCCTGTTTTATGTTATAATGTCATGGTCATATCTGAGCATCTTTGGCTTTTTGTAGCTTAGCTGGGGGCCAGATACCTCATTATTGTAAACTGCTTTTTGGATTACAGCCATGGGAGGAAGGAGATGCTGGTTTGTTTTAGAGCAGTTCCTTTGCCTCTGGAAGATCACAGGTTTCAGAGGGATTTCCGTCTTTTTCTGCCACAGCTTAACAAAGATTTCATTTGTGAACCTCTGAATGCTCAGGACCTAACATGGACATGTATAAAGGTCAGAGACAGTTCGAGTCCTCTCAGTCTTTATGATAAACTCCAGTGGGATTCCAGCTGGTGATTCAGTAAAGAGTTTGAAATCCCCAGCTTCAGCAGGGAAGGTAGTGGCATCCCTAAGCTGCTGAAACTTAGCAGCTACATCCTGCAGCTTCGCCTGAGGTCAAAGCTCAAAGCTCTCCCTGAGGTCATCAGGAGCTCTCAGAGTTGAGCTTGATGCTCCCCCTGGGCAGCAGGAAAACTCAAGATACAGGCAGCTATGAAGGTGTCTCTGAAACTCGGCAACCCTTCCCTTGCCTGCCTGTGGCCCTGCTTTTCTGATTCTGGTTGCTTTTGCTTTTGGAAGTCATATTTTACTGTAGGGTGTTACCATGGATGTTTGCTGATGCAGCTCCTGAAAATGGGATAACATACATGAGTACATATTTGGATTTTTGCTTTATTTCCTGTGTACTTCCTTCCCACTGCCCTGTGCACACATATGGCGCATACACATAAAGATGTGAATAGAAAGTGAGCTGTGAAGTGAAAAAGTTTGCTCACAGTGAGATATTCACTTTAGTAGACAACAGGTGACTAAAAAATGGGCAGAAGAGCAAAATGGACCTGCAGAGTGACAGGATGGGGAAACAGACTGAGTGTAGGTAGAAGCAATACACAGGGGAAAAAATTCCCCATGTACCCCCTTCAAAATACTGGGATTTTTTCCCAGGAAAATATCAATTCAATGGTTGTCAATAAGCAAAAAAGAAAAAAAAAAAAACCAAAAAAACACCCCAAACCAAACAAAAAAAAAACCCCGAAAAAAACCACCAAAAAAACCCCAACAACAACAAAAAACCCCAACCCAAACAGTCTTATGTTAGGAATTTTGAGTACTAGGAATAAAAGCAAGGACATGCTGTGTAAATGTAGCTGTATGAATCCCTGGGCCACCTGCTTTTGAGTGTGACTCTGATCCTTTATCTCAAAAAGGATATAGCAGAACTGGAAAAGGTCCAGAGAAAGGCAGAAAGGATGACTAAAGAGAGGGAATAGTTTCTCTATGAAAGGAAACTGCAAATCCAGTTGGCTGGATAGGGAGGGTTTAATAGAGGCCTACAGAGTTACGTGTGCTATAAAGATAGATATGGACCAACCACTCACTGTCTCTGTGAAAAGAAGAAAGTGACACCATCAACTGGAGCTGGCCATAGCCTGACTCAGAGCAAGCACCAGAAGCTGTGCCTTGCACAGTGGATGGAGACCTGGGGAACCCTTCACAGGTGGATGCTGTGTGGGCCAAAAACTGGAGCAGTCACAAAGTCAGGTTGGGCAAGCCCTTGGAGAGCAAGAGCCACTGCAGGCTACTGACTCAACAAACCAAACTGAGCTGAGGAACCCCCTGAGAGCCCTTTGGGCCCAGGCTCCTTGCAGGTGGGGGCTGTGTTTGGCTGTAGGGTGGCCCTGCTGAGAGCTTTGCCCCCTTCCCTCAGCCTGAGCAAGCTCCGGACAGCCCCTGCAGGGGCTGAGCACTGTACCCAAGACCTGCACACTCCAGGGGAACAGCCTGTACCCTGGCCAGCTGCTGCTCCTGATGTTTTCCTCCTTGTCTGCCAGCAGAAGGGTGCAAGAAATCTCTGGAGAGGAGACCTGGTCTCCTGCCCAGGCAGCTGCAGACACTGGGAAGGAGGATGTTGTCAAAAAGTGCTGTCTGTACTTACACTCTCATGTTTTTCAGCACTGGAGAATAGAGTTAAACAAGGTTTCCTGGGCCATTGAAGCTGAATGATTTCTACAAGACAAGCCATATCTTAAACCTTTCCCCTAAAGCTCCCACAGGGGACTGGTTGTGTTTGTTATGTAGGGTTCAGGGCTGGGAAGAGGACAGGGTGAGGGTGGCCACAGCTCCTGAACACAGCAGGGCATGGCCCAGAGAAGCAGTGGGGATCCAGCCTGTGCATGTAACAGGAGAGACCTTGGGCACCTCAACTCAAAGCTGCTGCTGGATGTGCTTCAGACACAGCTCTATGGTGCAAAAAGAACCATGGCAGCATCTCCCTGGCTTGACCTGAGCTCCTGCCTTGCCACAAAACTTACACTGCCTGAGCTAATGCAGGTTTTGATGTCGATGTCCTTAAATTGTTTGTCTCTGTTTGCAACAGGCTTGTATTGATTTAGGTTAATTTGGTTACCCAAAAAAACGGTTGTGCTGATTGCTCTAAATGGATTAAATAGTGATTTTAGTTAAACTGATGGCAGGCTTGTGTGTAGACAGGGCCTGGAGCTTTGTAAGCTAATGACTTGGCAGTAATGCAATGGTTTTTTTTAGACAGCTGAGACCAAGCTGTTGTTTTAAATACAAGACCATAAGTGTTACTATTCTAGTAAACGGTCCCTAAATATGATATTTTTCCACTAATTTGTGTTCCTTCTGAATCCTGACTGATATCTTTACTAACTCTCACTTTCCTGATAATAATTTGGCAAGTACCTTTATTCCAAGTGGACTTTGCAATAAATGCAAGTGCAAAACATGGAGAAGTTCCAATTTTTGGCAAAAGTTTCTAAATTCTGTTTACTTTACCAGCCGGCTTTTGCTTTTTTTTTTTTTTTTCTTTTTTTTTTTTTTTTTTTAATTGCAAAAAGTTTGTCCTCTTTTTTAATAAACACTCAGGTAGAAGAAAAATGCAAAGGAGCCTAGCTCCTGCCAAAAGCAGGGACCTTTCTCCACAAGAGAGTCCTTAGTGGAGAGCAGGTCCAGAAGCAGCCACTGTTCAGTTTCTCCACTTGGAAAAATACAAGGGTGAGATCATAGTAAAATCAAAGAGGGGTTTGGGTTGGAAGGGACCTTAGCTCTTGGGCATTACTTATTTTGTGCCCATATAATTTCAATGGGAAGAAATCACTGTATCTGCATAAAGTCTTTCCTACCTGCCTCTGAACCCCTCTGAAGCCGGCTGAGCTTCTGCCAAGTGAATTTGCCTTCACAGGTCTTCTCCACCAAACTGCAAATCCCATTTTGATTCATCTGCTTCCTCTCTGATTTTTTGTCTTCAGGTTGGGACTAAAATTAGAAAAGAACACGACTCCAGACAAATGAGTCACTAAGCCTTGATGAGCTCTGATCTGCAAGGAAGTACTGTATAGAGGTCTGAGATACTGAATAAGCCTTAGCTCAGAAAACAACAGTCCAACAGGTAGGCTGTGATCCTTTCCTGTCTCAGGCAGGTATGTGGAAGCAGAAAGCTGATGGCAAGACTTAGAGGAGACTTTGTGTCTCAAAGGACAGAGAGAGCAGCAGAAAGGAAAAGCTCAGTGTTACCAACTGGAGAGCAACTGGAGACCACAAATCTGAATTATCCTGAGAAATAGGTACATGGAAACCCAGCGTGCACTAAGATATTTTTGGCAGATGTTTCTATACCACTAGTGCCCATTGGATCCTGGACTATTTTCTGCATTCCTGGATTCTGACAATTGGGTCCCAGTAACTTCGAGCACAGTAGAGGTGAAGCTGTGGGAGAGGCACGTGGCACAAATCGGGCAAATCAGGGGCGAGAGCACTTATGGAGGAGCTGAGTTACCCAGAAAGGGTAACAGATTGTTTTTCCAAGACAAGCCAAAGAGATCGAGGGGATCAGCACTGTAAAAGTGAGTGGGTTGTGTGTGTCTCAGCTGCAGCATCTGGCTGGGCAGTGGTGGTCAGGAAGGGGCAGGGAAGGGCCAAAGCACAGCCACAAGGCAGGCCCAAGCCATAACTTGTGGTGTGCTTGTGCATGTGGTAATGAGCTTAAGAAGCCATCTTCATCCTCAGTGACCACCTCACCAGAGCAACCTGCCAGTGGATGAATGTCCTTTGTATGTGGCTCTAAGCCCCACTGAGCAAGGCTCAGGGGATGGTCACTGAGACATCTTATTCAAGGTTGGAGGCTTGAGAGTTGAGATATTTGTCAAATAAAAATTACAGATCATCTTCCTGCCTTGAACACCTGAAATGCAGGTGAACAAATCTTAATCAAACTGACCAAAACATTTGCACAGAGTTGATGGGGCAGCTAGACTGAGAACAAGGCCATTTATCCCTTCCTCCCATTTGCCATCTGGTGGTGTCTGAGAGCTCCAGAAGACAGCTCCAAAGCTGTTCCAGGCTCACAGTAAAAAAAGCTGCCCATGAGGGATGGATGCCCAGCCCTGGAATGCAGCCCTCCCTGGGCTATGAGTCGTAAAATAAACTCTCAGATCACAACGGCTGGCTTTGCTACAAAAGACTACAAAGCTCACAATGAGTAAAAGAATATCCTACAAAATCCTTCTTCAGACTTCCCTGAGCCTCTTCCATGAAACAATTAGTGGATGCTCTTGTTTTGAACTCTGTGACTCACTCCTGTAATTCAGTTGTGGCCTGTGATCGCTCAGTCACTTAATTCGTGGTGGGGAAACAGGCAGTTGTGAGAATTTCCTCTGTGCCCCCCTGGGCCTCTCGCTGCAGCTCTGGGCACATTGGAGCCTGGATGCTCGCTTCCCAGATGTGCAGGCCCCCTCAGGAATGCTTCCTCACAGCACCAACTGGTGAACAGGAAGGTTTCTCAAGGAGAAAACACATCTCACTGTGTTTTGTGGTACTTAATCCAGCTTCAAGGGTGGTCCTGTTATCAATAGTCTAAATAGTGAAGTTGTGGCTTGGCTCTACCAGAGTTTTATTTGTAGTTTGGTGTCTTCACAGCAGGTACACATGTGTGCACAATTGTAAAAACTCCATTAAAGGTAATGGACTCTATCAAAGCAATTACACTGGCTAATGTCTCCCACATTCTTTTCTATTAACCATACTTAACTTTGCCATACAGCAGTACATTTACTATTATGAACCAGTAAGTGATTTTTAATCACTGGATTTGTATTACATGCAGATTTGTGTAACTTTCCAAGTACATTGAAAGCATGAAAGACATTTAACAATTAAACCGAAAGTGTTTCCAGAGATTTCCAGTAAACACTGAATATATTTGAAGGCTTCTCTCTGCTTATGTTACCTTGGTCGTGCTGAGATAATTTGGGCAGCAGAGCAAGGAAAAAGCACTGAATAATTTGCCACCTATTTCACATCCAAAAGAGAATTGAAAACAGAAAGCTGAAAAATTCTTCCTGCTGGTACCACATGGCAGAAACCCTGCCCCGTGTCTGCTGAACAGTGCTGTATGTTTGTCAGGAGGAAAAGACAATTGCATTCTCTGGCTGCATTCTCTGGCTACTGACTACCAAGTGCTAAATTTCTGCTGTTACCAGGAATGGCAGAAGGGGCCATCACAGAGTGACCCTGGCAGAGCAAACTGCAGTGTCCTTCATGCAGGACTCCCTCCAGGCCCTGGAGGTGGCTGAGCCAGTCACTCTGGTGACCTCAGGCAATTGCTGTTCCTCTGCCAAGGCACAGGGATGAGCTTCTCCATGGGATACTCAGGCTTGTCACTCATGTGCTTTTGGCTTTCCTCTGCTTGACCTCTCAGACACTTTTAGCCCCATAGTCTCTTTGTTATTTCCCTTTGGCAGCTGCTTTCCATCTTACAGCTCATGTTCATTGCTTTCTATTTCTTCCCCTTTTTCTCTTTTGCCTTCCCTATTCCTCCTTAGTTTCCTTTTTGCTTTCTGCCAAACCAAATGCACCACTCTCTCCTTTTCTGGTTATCTTTCCCAAGGGCTGAATCACAGCAGTTCTGTTTGAGTGGCCATTTCTATAGCCCAGAGTTATCTCCTAGAGTGTGGGGTGCTAAGCTGAGGAAGGTGACCTTCCTTGGTTCCCTCTGCAGTCAGCTGGAAGACATGGGAGCCTCCAGAAGGTGACTCAGGTTTTGAGGCTGTCTTAAGACCTTGTGAAGACTGATGTCATCCCATGAGTTGCCAGTAAGACTGACAAACATCCTAACTTACAAGCTTTGAATTGGGGACCCAGTTTTATTTAGTACAAATCCAGCTTTTGCAGAGTTTAGCACATGTCAGATGGATGAGAAGCATAAATCAGGGGATCTTCCCTCCAACCAACATTGTCCTCCCAGGTGCCAGATTCCTGCCCACAGCCTGGCAGTTAGGAGAAGTGGCATCTGCAGCACAGCAGCTGATAGAGCTTTGCAACAACTTTCCCACACCCCAGAGTCCCATCTCTGCTTTAGACAAAGCATTTGGTCCAGCTTCAAAAAGCCAAGCAAGAACTTTTGCTCCAGTTCCTTTTTTGCTTTAAAATAAGTATCGTGCAAGAAATAAGGAAATAAAAGTGGAAGGGGAAACAAAACTTTCATTCTCACACAGACATTTAAAAGCAGGCATCTGCACAGTTTCCATGACTTTCATTTCACCAGGAGAATGTTTCCCAGGAGCTAACTTCAACATTTTGAATGGAGCCACATTTAGCCTTTTCCACAGCAAATCACACAGGAGCCATGAACTGCAAATGCAGCCTTATCTCCATCCAGACATTTGTTCCCAAAGAGAATTTTCCAGTTTTCTGTGATCAGACCAAGAAAATATGAGTGACATTATAACAACCCTCCCAGAGCATGCTCTGTTGTATTCTGAGTTTGCTGACAAGCTGTTACATGGTCAGGGTCAGTTTTCTCTGTAGAAGTCTGGTCCTGTGATCTATCAGTGAGATTTTGTCACTGGATTCACTAGGATTTCCCTTCCAGTGCAATTGCAACTTGCTGACCCCAGAATGAAAAAAATAGTTGAAGTGGTTTTCTCTCTCCCCTTCCCTGTGCATCTCTGCCCCCCTTCCCTTATAAACACTTGTGGGCACAGGAGGGATGACTGCTCCTTCATTAATGTCCCTTGTCCCAGGGCAGGCTCAGCAGGACACTCTTTCCCTCACTTTATCCTTCTCTGCAGATCACTGGGGCAGGGAAAATTGGGTCCACACCCACCTGTTCTTTGGCCCAGATAGCTGTTTGGAGCATGCTTTGTTTATTTTTACTACTGACATAATAAAATGAGGTGATAGACAATCCCTTGGCCTTGTGTCTGACCAAGGCGGCTGCTACAGCTCACTCCCTGCCCCCTGAGTGTGCAGCTGACCTGGTGCCTTTGATAATCAAATTTTCATTAGTCTGCTAAGCAAAATGCTGGCATTGAGCCACAGGCAAGTTATAAAGCTGGCCGAATGATTGGAATAATAATTCGCTCATATTGAATGTGGTCCATTTAAAGGTGGTGCTTATTTCCTGAATGGAAATTAATATCTTCTAAGGATTTGGTTTAGATTACTTCACTGCATGGTTTACTTCAGCCTTATAATTTTGCCACTGATACGTAAAGTGGGTTCATAAATAGAGTAGCAGAGGCTTGGCTGTGCTCAGAGATAGTGCTGTGCACTAATGTAAATTATAAATGTAGAGCTAGAAAATGTAACAAGCCCAGCTGGCAAACTTCCCTGTATTATCTCACAATAATTGTTTCCAGCCAGTAGTGATTTTTTCTATAGCAGAAGACAGGTTATTTATATTATTTAGGCTAAATATGCCTAAAACTGTAATAACATCCTCTGGCAAAAGTGTTATCTGATGGTGTCTGAAATGGAATCAGCTTTCCTCTTTTCAGGCATTAATAATTGAAACATTTGTGTCACCTCATGGCATTTCCTGAACTGGAGAAAAAAATGGGAATGACTTTTTAATTTGTATAGTTTACTTCTTAAAAAGTAGACAACCAGAATTTCCTAGAATTGTTACATGTGGTTTGTATCACCAACCAGAGAAATATTTCTTTTTACAATTCTGATCAGGCAGAGACAGCAGTACCACCAGCAGGACTGGCTCCTGGCTTAGCAGTCAGGAAAATACCTGTGAACAGGCAAGGCAGGTGAAGGTCACGGAAGAGAGTAGGATTTTTCCCATTTCCTCAGAAATGCCTGGATGCCTGCTGCATTGCCCATCTGCACATTCTCAGGTAAACCCTACAGAAGTGTGGATGTGGGCTTTCAATCCCCAGATGGCAATCCTGCTTTAGTACCCCTTGAATTTCTGGCATGCAAGGGAACATGTTTTACATATTAGAACTTTCAATGCCGTGAATTTCTGTTTAATACATTATTTAAGTGATTCTTCACTTACAAGGCATGTTGGTATAAAAATGGGAGAAAATGGCCTTCCCCTCAATGGGACCCACTCAATCCACACTTGAGAATGGATGTATACAATGGCCATTCTAAGATGACATGTTAAAGAAATAAGGTTTATTTAAATGAATGCTACAGCCAAATAATGACAACTTCAAATCCAAATACACATGTGCTGTGAAAAAACTCCCACTATAATTATGACAGCTCAATAGAAAGTAATTCCATATCCAGATGTAAAAAAAATTAACGCAGGAATGTTTTTTTACTTAGTGGCTGCAGTGTGGTGTTTCAGTCCCAGTTTGTGACAAGCAGTAGATAGTGAACAGTGTGAGAAATAAATTTGAGGAAATTTGTGGTGATTAGTTCAGTAAAAAGGACAGTTGATGAGAAAAATATGTTTATTCTGCTTTTTAAATCACCCATGTTCCTGCTTTTGTTTCTCATAGTTTTGTTCTTAGTTGATCTTCTGACATACAATTATGGCTGGTTCACACTACTGTGAGTAAAATCCATTTTTAAAGCCTGAAGAACAGCAGCATGAATCCTCATCTTCTTTGCTAGTGATCAGATATCTCTAGGGAAACTTAGTTCTTTTCTTCAACTAATTTAAATGTATGGGAAGTCATTCAGCCAAAATAAATATCGAAAGGCTTAACTCTTCTGAATTGTATACCACTGGATTAGGATTTCAAAAATTTTGAGTTATCCATAATATGTGATTATTAATCCCATAAATATTTTTAATTGAGTGATAATGAGCTATCAGCTTTGCTCTTGTTTTGAAGCCTACCCTGACACCAGTTGAGTCACTGTCTTTGGAACAAGATCAGAAAATGATGCCAGGAAAGGCAAAGAGCTGCTCTGTTACAGTTGTATATGAATAATGAAACAGGTTATTCTAAAAAGTGAAATGCATTCACCTGTAACAAGAATCACAATAAAACCTCATCTTTTTCTTTCAGATTTATATGAGTTTGTTTTAAAAAGCTGATTAATTTTTTTTAACAAAATCCTGGCTTAGCTGAAGTTTCTAGGAGTTCTGTGGTTTAATAATAACTGAGTCTGGGACTTCTGCCTTTCACATTAGGCACCTTGATTTATTTTTTCTATCTATTAGGAAGATTACCTTTATGCTAATCCCATCATAAAGCCTATTCCAGAGATATTTTAAGTACCCATAGAATTAACTAAAGCACAAATTTAGAACATCTCATTTTGGATAGAGTATGATGGTACATCTAAACAAAGCACTGATTAAAGCCATGCAAAAGAATTTTTGCTTCAGTTCTGTGGAAGACCTAAAAATACATATATTTAAAAGTTCTTTGCATATTTACCCCAAATACCCTGGCTTTTACTGGTTTTTGATGGAAAACAATCATTTGGTGATGAACTTCATAATTGAAAGTGAAATGAGTTCTTCTGGTTTTGGACAATTGGGTGCTTCATCTCACTGCGCTCTGCCAGCCCGTGCTGCTGTTCCACACCAGCCACTCCTTCCCACCCTCCCGCCTCACTGCAGCTGTCCCAGTCCATGCTGCAGCCCTCCTTCAAAAGGTGCCTTGCAACGGTTCTTAAAGGGAAGGAGAGAGGATGGGAAGAATAGCTGAAAAAAAAATCCATATTAGAACATGAGCGTGATGTATTTTCGTGATGTATTTTGCTCTTCTGGTCTTAGATAGATGCCACAGTGCCATATGTGAGCCTAGCATAAAAAGATCAAGATGTCTTGATGCTAAAGAGATAAAAATAAATAAGTATGACATGTCTGGGATTTCCTCATTTTTATGCTACGCAATACCTTTTATTTTTAAATTTGATTTGAATTTGCAAGTAGCTGGCTTCCCTTCAGCAGCATGTTTTGATGAATAATACGTCATTTACTACTGAAACAGAAAAGATCTCTGGTGAAGCAGTGATGTGGCAGAGAGGGAAAAACAAAGATGAATGCAAGAAGAAGAAAGGCAGAGTTTGCAGTTGAGCTGTGAGATGAACCAGAGGTCTCAAGGCACAGAACTACAGGAAATCTGCTCTTTATGGCAGCAGGTGCAGGGGGGAGCGCTCATACCCCGATGTCAATTGGAAGCGAAGGTACCACACAAAGCAGCAGCTGTGTGTAGATAATGAGAAGCTGAGAAGCCAAGACAAGCAGTGGAAAACGGGTCAATTTGGAGCTTGCACAAGGGCTCAGGAAGTTGTTTGAGAAGGAAAGAGGCAGCAGCACTGCCTTCAGTACAGAGTGTTTGTTAAAATTTGGTGCAATTTCTGATGCAGCGTGTAATGCTGTAGCTTCACAGTTGCTTTTAAGTGGAGAAAAGTTTTTAGTGGAAAAAAAAAAGAGTTCCTAGTTCATTGTAGAGCCAATGAAATTCTTCTGCCAGCACAAAGCAGGCAGTAGCATGAGGAAAGGGAAGGCAGGCACAACTGCAAAAGTAGTGGAGGGAGCAGGCAGCACAATTTTTTTCGGTAGCTCTGCCTGTATGTGCCATTATATGAAAAATGGAAATTAAGAAATAGCAACATTCTCCAGCTCCCTCCTGACTGATCTAAACTAAAAGACAGCATTATAGTATCCACTGTTAATATGCTCTACGGTGTCACTTCTTACACCATCTATCTCAATCTAAACACTTAACTACTGCCCTAAAGTGTGCATTAGGGCAAACTGGAGCTAGGTAGATTTCTTTACATCTCTGGGTGTCTCACTATGACATTTGAATCAGACTTTGGGTTGTGGTTATAATTAGGTTAGGTACAATTAAAACAGCATTAAAACCCAAGGATACTATTCTCCCCTACTAGCATTTGCTTCAGAACGGTATCTGCACCTTTTTCTCCAGTTATACTTAAAGTCCTCAGTAAAAACTGTCCTCCATCCCCCTGCAACTCCTTTCCACTGGTGTGGCAATTGAATGATCATGGTTGTTGAAAAGCAGTTCCTTTCTGGATAAAGGATCAGAATGTCATGTTCTGTGTACACATTCACTCATACTCCTGCTTGTCATCTGAGGTAATGAATTACAGTCTGCTGAGTATTCTATTGTGGTGGGACTTTTTTGTTACGTATACACACTGATGTGAGTACACACGAGATAAGGCAAGCTCACCTGAAGCAGAAGTGGTGAGGTTTGGGATAAACTTTAACTCTCCCAGTAGATTCAGAACAAATGCAAAGAACTCACTAGCAGGGTTTGTTTTTTTTTTTTTTTCCTGAGTACATCTCATGCCCTCCTTCTTTTAAATATTTGTTTTGAGACTATGTACCTTTTGGTAGCTTTGTGATGACTAGTGTCTCTTGACCCCCTCTTGTTCACCATATAAGCATCTGAAACAAGTCTGCTGCAGATGCTGAGTTACTTGAGATGGCATGAACTAGAGCTGGCTGCAAAGAACTTGGACCTTGTGAGGTTGAATAACTGGGCAGTCAAACCACAGATGAAATTCACTGTGTGAATTGAATCAGCACCTACCAGGAAGAAAAATTCCTAGCCTCTCATATAAGATGAAAAGCTCTGAAATGACCACAGCCACTGAGAAGGAAACTGTGGCACTAGTTACATATCAGAAAACATCAGTTAAGTGTGTGGCTGCACTCAATCAAATGTTACAGACCATTTGTGAAGGAACACAGAACAGAACTGGAAACATGAAGATGCCACTGCAGAAATCTATAGCAAACCTGAACACTTACTTAGTCCCTTCATCCCAGAAAGCAGAAACAGAAAAAAATTATAGAGGAGCTGTGTACTCGATCAGTCTGACTAGTTTAGCACTGCACAGTTTGGAAAATGGACTACATTATGAGTTAACACAGGAAATCATCAGAGGCATAGACACTTTGGGAAAATATATTTTTTCAAGCACAAAAATCCAGGAGCTCACAACGGCAGTGAGCCATAGCCAGGCTCAGAGCAAGAGCTGGTGCCTTGGGCAGCCCCTGATTTGTGGATGCTCTGTGGGCCAAAAGCTGAAGCAGGCTCAAGGTGGAGCTGGGCAAGCCCTTGGAGAGCCTGAGAACCACAGCAGGCTACTGACTCAACAAAGCTCACTGAGCTGAGGAACCCCCTGAGCACACATTGCTCAGAGGAGGGTGGCACAGTCCAAAGGGGAAGTGCTGTGGGTGCTGTCTTGTTCCTGCTCTTCCTTGTTCCTGCTCTTGCTGGGAGAGCTGACCTGGCTTTGAGCTGGGAGCAAGGCTGTGCTAGATGTGCCCTTTGTCTGCACCCACAGAGCTGACCTTTTCAACAATTTTCTTTCTGAATGATGGGAACCAGCACTGACATCACCTGAATCAGATGCACTGCAGCAAGGCTGAAGGAAGAAGAAGGATGTGTGGCTATTTTTGGCATATAAGGCACAGCTGCTTGTTGTCTTCTCTCACAAGTCAGGAAGGGCACAGACGGGAGCAGGTCAAAACTCTCTTAGCATGTCATGTATTTCTTAGTTAATGGACTGAAACTAGAGAAAATCAGTAATATGACAGTTGTTAGATAAACCCAGACTTTTTTTAGCAACTTTTCTGAATGTTGTGAAAACTTCCTTGTGCACAGGATGGTGTATTTAACTTACAATTGCATTTCCTGCATCTGAGAAGGAAGGAGCATTCTTGAAGACTAGGATGGATGGAGGCTGTTTGGAAAACACTGATTTCTTGTACATGATTAATACAGTGGATATGATAATCTATGAGTGAAGCAGGTACCACTTTAGCAAAGTTAATAAAAACTGTAGTCAGTGGGTACTCAAAAGCTTGTATAAAGCTCGTAATTATGAATAACAATAGAAATAAAACTGTCAGTAGAGAAATACTAGGGATAGCAAAAGATTATGTATGTGCTAACTAGGGAGGAGAAGATACACTGGAAATGGTGGAGAACTAAATTTACCTAAATTACAAAACAGGAAAGGGGATTTTAGCAAAAATGTATGTTATTCCAATGATATGTAACAAGGAATTAGTTACCACTTCCCATGGGCAGGCAGGAAGGCATTCAGTCATCCCCAGGAAAGCAAGGATACATCATGCATAACAGTGAATTTGGAAGAAAAATGCCATAAATTTGAATGTACTCTCTTCCTCCTCCTTCCCCCAACTGTTACTGTTGGGCATGACATCATGTCGACATATGGTTTGGAATATCCCTTGGGTTGTTTAGGTCAGGCTGTCCCAGCTGTGTCCCTTTCCATCTTCTTGTATACCCCAGCCTGCTCACTGTCAGGGCAGTTCAAGAAGCAGTGTAAGCACTGTTCAGCTAAAACATCCCTGATTCTCGTCACAAATCCAAACTAGACTCCTAAATAAGTTACTATGAAGAAAATTGCCTTTATACCAACAAAACCCCATACACATATGTATAAAAGTTGGTACCTCTCAACAAAATGAAAAAGCTCTGTGACATAAAGATAACCAGAGTCCTACAAAAACAGTGAAAATACATATGTAATATTCACAGTATCACAGAATATTCTGAGTTGGAATGGATCCACAAGGGTCATCAAGTTCAGCTTCTGGCCCTGCACAGGACAGTCTCAAGAATCACACCATGTGATTGTTGGAGTGTTGTCCAAATGCATCTTGAGCTCTGTCAGGCTGGTGCTGTGACTATTTCCCTGGGGAACCTGTTCCAGTGCCCAACCACCCTCTTGGTGAAGAATTTTTTCCTAATATTCAGCCTAAACCTCCCCTGACACAACTTCAGGCCATTCCCTCATGTCCTGTCACTGTCACCACGGAGAAGGGTGTGTCTGCCCCTCCTCTCCCCATCACAAGGGAGCTGTAACTGCAGTGAGGTCTCCCCTCAGTCTCCTTTTCTCCAGGCTGAACAAAGTGTCCTCAGCCACTCCTCATATGGCTTCCCCTCAAGGCTCTTCATCATCTTTGTTGCTCACCTCTGGACACTCTCTAAGCACTTTAAATCATTCTTTTATTGTAGTGCCCAGCACTCACACAAGACTCGAGGTGAGGCTGCCCCCATGCAGAGCAGAGCAGGACAATCCCCTCCCTTGCCCAGCTGGTGATGCTGTGCCTGATGCCCCCCAGGCCAGGGTTGGGCCTCCTGGCTGCCAGGGCACTGCTGGCTCATGTTCAACTTGTCATCAACCAGGACTTCCAGGTCCCTTTCCACGGTGTTGCTTTCCAGCCTCTCATTCCCCAGTCTGTCCATACATCCAGGGTTGCCCCATCCCAGGTGCAGAGTCCAGCACTTTCCCTGGCTGAACTTCATATGGCTGGTTATTGCCCAGCCCTCTGATTTGTCATGGTCCCTCTGCAGGGCTTTCCAGACTTCAAGGGAGTTGACAGCTCCTCCCAATTTTGGATCATCTGCAAACTTTTTTAGCATTCCTTTAAGTCCTGCTTGCAAGATGTTTATGGCTACTTCAAGCCAATGAATGCAATAATAACTGCATACATGCCTTGCTAAATTCAGTATCTGACATGCAAAGCAGTGCCAGAGTAGGGCTCACAGTCACATGATAGCTCTGAGACCAAGCAATGCCCAGTATGCCTAGACCTGAAAATAAATTCTTTCCCAAGAGTATGTTTGGTATAGAGAATATTTGGTATATATATTTGTTGTTATGCTGGGACCATACATATATACCTGATATGTGTATGTGACACATACATATATCTGTATGTGTAGCATAGGTTGTGTCCTTCACCTGGAGTGAACAAGCCAAGGTATGGGTTAGGGGCTGAGCTGATGGAAAGAAAGTCTGTGGAGAAGGACCTGAAGGTACTGGTGGACAACAAGCTGTCCGTGAGCC